AGGTGGGTGGAGGAGGTGGAGGAGGATTGTGAGAGGTGGGGGAGGTGTCATGGGGGGTGGTTGCAGGACTGTCCCTTTTACCCCGTTTACACTACCCTTAAAAAACTGAGCCGAGACCGGTCCGAGCTCAGTAACTGAGATAACTTGTCGTGTGTGAACGGAAACAACCTGAACTGAACCGAGATAAACATAACCGGACCGCGCTAACTGCAGACCAGTTCCCGAGGTGGGTTCGGCTTGGTTTTTTCCTGGCTCGGTTCTCTGATAACAAGAGCGCATGAGCAGAACGCGTCATCGCCGACTGGCTGAACATGCCGATTCACACTCCATTCCAGAAAGTCGGCTTCCCAAAAGCCGACTTTCTCAAGTACATCCGCGCAAGGTTGCCGTCTTCGCCTGACCCACCGCAAACACGGAAGTACAGCAATAATAATCAAGCATAACTTTCTGAATGTGACGGGCGCCGCCATTTTGATTTGCTTGATTCCCTCCTCCTTCGTCTTCTTCTTCTTGGGTTTTACGGCGGTTGACAAACAGCGTTTGGTGCATTACCGCCACCAGCTGCTTGAGTCCCTCCTTCAATCCTAGCAGTAATACCGCACATCGTCACTAGGAGGCGAGGAGTCGAGGCGTCGAGATAACCGAGATAAGTGTGACGTGTGAACGGTCGTCAAAACTGAGCTTGGCCTGGTTACCGATCCAAGCTCGGACCGGTCTCGGCCTGGATCGGTTTTTCAAGGGTAGTGTAAATGGGGCTTAAGTCTGTCGAAATGACAGAAGTCATTCAGGTTGTTGGGTAATCGTTGGTTGTTCATGGAGTGGGGGGTTTCCCCACCCCGTCCTCCTGAAGGCCGCACCCCCATAACCTGCAAACATGCCAACTAGTCAGAATTTGTAAAGTTAGCCTAGCAGCATGGAATAATACATTAGATGAGGGCAGTGGCTTGATGAATGGGCTGCTACAGACCGCTATGGAGAGCATATTTCCCCTTATGACATCATCAGGGGGTTGCTTTTCAAACGGACAATATCTATCACACATTAACTAAGAGGTGGAGGAAGAAAACGATAGAGGGAATTTTTTTTTGTCCATCTGTGAACCTAGTACATGGGCTTCGGGACACATATCACTCTTGAAAAATGTTTATAATGTAAATTGTGCATTATACTTAAATTTAAGGTAAGGGTACCCCTTAAAAATGGTTAAAAAACATAGTCTGGCATTTATTTGTTTGTTTTGATAGCATTTGTATTTATTTTTACTTTCATTAAATGAGGGGTTCCAACAATTTTGTCCATATGTGCGAAGTCCTGCAGATAATAAATCCACCCTAATCACACATCAAACCGCCCAAATTCTCACAGAGATGTGAGATGTAAAGCCATTCCCTTCTGGTGCCTGCTTCAGCAAAGCAGCATTGTACAGGCAAGTTTGAACAGTTTTGATAAGCTGAAGTTGGAGAGGGGATGCCAAGCCACGGCATCAGATACGTCGCCTTCAGTCATCAGCATGGTGAGAACAGATAAACAGAATGGAAATACAGATTGGTCCTAGAAGATGTGGGTAAAATAAACACTGAGATGAATAATCAGCTTTGTTTATCAGTTAAAAATTGAGTTACAATGAGATTACAGGTATGATAAAGCATTAATCATGAGGTAATGATTACTGGGTCCGATGGAAAAACACTAGCTTTAGCTAAGTCTAGGAATGACAAAAAAGTTCATGCCTCACAGCACATGAGTAATAGGCTTTTGAATACACATTATGAGTTAAAAGCAGGAAGTGACAAACACTGCAAGCAGGAGGGAATCATTGGGCTGTTTTTAGGGTGTAAATGAAAACATGCAAGGTGGATGACAAAATAAAGCACTCCTAAGAAATTAAGTATCAAACACTTTAAACAAGTTTGAGTGAGAAATTAACCTTCTGTTTACATTTCAAATTAAAAGCAGGAAATTAGAGCTGAATTCGTTCTGGCTATGAGGAATTCTGCCCCAGTTTAATTTAGAATATTGTGGGGATGGCCTTTGAAGTTGTTTGCCAGCAGGCCTTAAAAAGCTGAAAAACAGCTGTTTAACATTTCCACATTGTGTCACGTTTCAGCCAAAATCCTAAGTGTGCTTTATTAGAAAAAGATGCTCTTGTCCAATGAGGCCACATTGGACAAGATGTTCTGCTACGTAATGCTGGACATCACCCTGCCCACCCACTGTCCATGGTGAAACTATGCAGATAGCAGCGTCAAGCTGCTGGAATCTGTTTCTCTAGATAGAAACAGAGGAGCTGGAAAGATGTATAGAGCTAATTATGGGACAATTCTGGAGGGAAAACTGTTAGAGGCTACAAAAACTTTCCACTGAACCAGATTTTCATCTTCTAGCAGGAAAACCTGATACATACAGCCAGAGCTGCAATGAATCAAAACATTTTAGTTTTTTGAAAAACCTTCACTAGACTTTAAGTTGTTTCCGATGTGTGCTGCTACAATACAGACGATTCAGATTCAAATTCCTCCACGGTATTATCATGAGTTTTTGCAGGAGCCAGCTGATTAACTCCTTAAATAATATGCATTATGTGGACCAGACAAACACGCAACATACATGATGACTCTGGGGTAATGAAGTTGACTATGTTCAAAAGAAGTATGTGCAAAAATAGCAGTCTGTAGATATCCAAAGATGCTTGGGACATACCCTAAAAAGACTGGAAACTATAAACATTAATTGATAATAATTATTTAGACACACTGCCTGGATTTAACTAAGCAAATAAGTTAAAACCTCCTATTGAATAATTATAGGAGGACTGATTGTCTGTCAGCTGGCAATCCGTTGTTTAATTCCAGCTGAGGCAATAAGTAGCTTTGTTTTCTTTCTTCACATTTATGTCGAAAGACATCCTTTGGTCATAAAAAAATATCTTGAAATAAGTGTCAAAGTTTAAAATCTCTGACATGAGAAAACATCATAAAAGAGATGCAGAAACTACTAAAATTGGGTTTAAAATTATCCAAATATTGGAATGATAGTAAAAGTGGTTGGAAAAAAATCCTGAATGATCGTGAAAACAAAATGCTTCTATGCTACAGAGTGTAAGGATTAGACTCTGAAGGACTGGAAAAAGGTCTTGCCACAATTCTTAAATCTAAATATATATATATAAAATCTAAATCCTAGATCGTATACCTAAATATTTAGAACATATGCTAATTAGCTTTGCCCCCAACTCATAGAAACTGCAATAAGAATGGGGGATGGCCTGTGTTCTTCAAGATGCCTCCTCTTCTTATCAATTTTCTTTTGTGCTGGTGTTTATATATTCTTTAAAGATTAAAGATATAGATTTAGGATATGTTTTTGGATTTAACATTAAGAAAAAGATTTAAAACATATGCTTAGACTTAAAAGTAGCCCTGCGAAGGATAAATCTAAGATTCAAATGTAAATGTAAGACGGTAAAATATATATAACATTTGTATTTTGTATTGTTTTTCTAAATGTCAGAAAAAAAGCACTAAATGTGAAGAAAGGTTGCTAAATAACAAAAATGAGATTTGTTTTGCTAAATGTCTTAACGCCCCTATAAAAACTGGATGGAAATAAATCTTCAACATGGCAGAAGTTCAGCGAAACAATGTGTGCTGTAATTAAAGTATTTGCTATTGATGAAACAAGTTAGGTGCAGTATTTCCATGCCCTGTTCATATGGATACACTGCTAAAGACAATACAATTATGAATATTTGGAAAATATGAAACAGCATCAGTTTCTCTATACTCTAATCTTCCCCAATAGTTATTTTCTTATTACAAAGATGTAATTTCTCTGGCTTCTACATGCTGATGAAGATTCTCAGTCATCCAGGTCATAGTCATTCCGTAAAAGTTTTAAAAAACTTTCCAGTGGATTGTTTTTTAAACTGTTCTGGTTTCTATAGCATTCCCATTCACAGTCATGTAAGTTGGTTTCATTGCATGTCAGGCAGAGAGAGAACTAGAGATGTCCCGATCCAGGTTTTTGCACTTTCGATCCGATACCGATATTGTTTTTGGACTTCCGATCCGATACCGATACTGGCCAATACCAGCCTATCCGAGCATGTATTTAAGTTTAAGTTAAAGTATTTAGCCTTAGTTGTAAGACTCATGTTGAAAAGGGTTTTAGTACTCTTGATAACATCTAGCCAGCTGAATTAGGTGAGATTGAATAAAACACAATGATTGGTAACAACAAACTTACCTGTTTATTAAGAGATAAACACAAACTGGACAAAATTATGAATAGCAATCTGAAATTGCACAGTGAACAGTAAAGCCGTAAACAGTTAAAGGTGCAAGTATTACAGTAAGTTTTAAAAAAAATGCCAAACAGGGAACACTGGCGCATAATAGTGGAATGGATCGTTTCAATCGGAGAAACGGGAAAATTCCGACCGGATTAAAAAAAAAAAAAAAACTGGATCGGCAGTCTGGATCGGCATTTTACATGCTTTGCCGATACGCATTTTTTTGCCAATATCGGCGTCCCGATCCGATCCACGTATCGGATCGGGACAAGCCTAGAGAGAACCTCCAACAAGCAAATTACATTGGTCTGAAAATTTCTTCAAGATTCACATCAACCAAAAACCTCAGTGCTTAAGTGGGTTTTCATAATAGACCTCAGTGGAAGGAAAAAATTATGCATGATTAATTCTTTTCAGAATTCAAAGCAGGCCATTAAGTTGGATTTAACTCCTTTAACTTTGGATCCCCAACCACAAATATTACGTAAAATGCCCTTGTCTAGCATGCTCTAACCTTAGGCACACTTCATATAAATCTAAAGCAGGCTAATGTTTACCAAGAGAAATATCTCTTAACGGGGACAATGTCCTGCTACACAACTGTAGATAAGAGTGCTGTTTACAGTAGAAGTCGATGTTTGCTAGATAGCTCTGACTGCATGTGTTTTGAACAATCTTGACAATAATCTGTATTTCCTCATTTGTACAGGTGGCCCTCTTGGACATAAATGAGACTGCAGGTGAAAATTTACTGGAGTCCTTGAAACAGCAGTATGGAGCAGGGCAGGCGTTGTTCATAAAGTGTGACGTTGAATCAGAGGAGCAGATTAAAGGTAACATATGGACTCACGCGTTAAAAACAAGGGTAAAAAACGTCAGCTGGAGGGCGGATTTCTGCAAAACACGTCAAACTACTGTATGCAGGCTGATGTTCTGAATGTTTTCATTCAAGTTGGTTGTCAGAAACTAGAAAGTCCAGACTCAGGAATAAACCAGGACAAAATGTGCAGAACAGGTATCTTTACTATGGGTGGAAAACTGCATCTTTCTTTGGATTGTCCCAGTAATTCCAGGGGTATAACCAAAGGTGTTTCATTACAGTGTTCACATGAGCTTACACTTTATAAGGAAGTAAAACAAAAGAGAAACTTGATCTACGGTAAAAGGACAATAATACAACTTTCTTGGCTCTACAGCCTTCAGCCTTTAGTGGACTGATGGCTTGTCCAGTGTTTACAGGTATAGCTAAGACTGTCACAAAATTAGGTGACTATAGATTGAAAGCAATGGTTAAAATATATCACTTTTACTGGTTCTTCACAGTTTATTTTTTCTCAAAACAAAAAGCACTTGAATTTTTCTATTAAATTTCTAATTATAAGTTTTTAACCAAGCAAGAACAAGGGAAGGTCTAAACAAAAATTAACCACGTTTTTCTGTGGTTTCTGATAAAAATTGTGTTACATAGATCCATATGGACTAAATATTCTGGCTTTCCAGAACATCGCTTTGAAAATAACCTGTTTAAATAACAGAGGCATCTAAGAATATTTATCAGTTCAATTCAAACCAATTTATTTAAATAGCGCCAATTCACAACATGTCATCTCAAAGCACTTTAAAGAAATAACTTAATTAGATCATGCGGTCAGATTTTTATCTGAAAAAAAAACAGCTGCTTCCGCAGATTCATTGACCGTGCAGGATTTGTTCATCCTAGAAGAGCATGTGGCGACATTAGATATTTGCTTGTATTTTCTGGTCAACTCTACAGGAATCTCTCATTCTGAGTGTGCATCCGGTGACTGTGGAGAGGAAAACCTCAATTTTAAGAGGAAGAAACCTCCAGCAGAACCTGGTTTAGTTTGACCGACCTTCTGCTGAGGCTGACTGGGGTTCAAGGAGATAGAAGTAGACAAGAGGAACATATAAGCACTGATCTATAAATACTTTCCATTTTAGAAAATGTAACGGTAAACTAACTCCGTACTTGGCTCTGTCTAGAAAAGAAATGGTTAATCAGATGAGCTCCAAGCCAGTTTTCATGTTGAAGGGATGAAAGAGAGCAAATAAAGTTAGAGTTTGAACCAACAAATACTGCAGAAAGGGAGGATGGATATTAGGGATGGGACGATTTATGAAAACCGTCCGAACCGTTCGGTTCGACTGTCTCAGTTCGATTCGCGTGTGTTTCGTTCGGTTCATGCACTGCCCTTTTTCTCATAGGCGAAGCATAAGACGGAGCTTTGCCATTTATGGCTTTATATATGAGAAGGATTTAACAGGAAGTCAATGAAGGGAACACTGTGAGATAGGCATGGATTTATGAAACACTTTACACTACCCTTAAAAAACTGAGCCGAGACCGGTCCGAGCTCAGTAACTGAGATAACTTGTCGTGTGTGAACGGAAACAACCTGAACTGAACCGAGATAGACATAACCGGACCGCGCTAACTGCAGACCAGTTCCCGAGGTGGGTTCGGCTCGGTTTTTTCCTGGCTCGGTTCTCTGATAACAAGAGCGCATGAGCAGAACGCGTCATCGCCGACTGGCTGAACATGCCGATTCACACTCCATTCCAGAAAGTCGGCTTCCCAAAAGCCGACTTTCTCAAGTACATCCGCGCAAGGTTGCCGTCTTCGCCTGACCCACCGCAAACACCGAAGTACAGCAATAATAATCAAGCATAACTTTCTGAATGTGACGGGCGCCGCCATTTTGATTTGCTTGATTCCCTCCTCCTTCGTCTTCTTCTTCTTGGGTTTTACGGCGGTTGACAAACAGCGTTTGGTGCATTACCGCCACCAGCTGCTTGAGTCCCTCCTTCAATCCTAGCAGTAATACCACACATCGTCACTAGGAGGCGAGGAGTCGAGGAGGAGTCGAGATAACCGAGATAAGTGTGACGTGTGAACGGTCGTCAAAACTGAGCTTGGCCTGGTTATCGATCCAAGCTCGGACCGATCTCGGCCTGGATCGGTTTTTCAAGGGTAGTGTAAATGGGGCTTATGAAAGCAGTCTGAAGGTTTAGGTTCTGGGTTTCATACACATGTGCGGTGGCCATGGATATTATTGCAACCCCTGAAATCAATGTTTTTGATGGAGAACAGCAAGGGTTTGGTAACAAAGCGCAAATCAGGTGTTCTTCATAACTTTACTACAATGATTTAATTAAATTCCTTTTAAAATAAAGTGATGAAATTATTTCCTAAATTAGAGAAAAAGTAGAATTTTAAAAGTAGAAGATTTAAATTTCCTTGTAGATTATGTAGCAAAATTTTGGAATTTGTCTTTTGTTTTTTCTTTTTAGCCTCATAAACTTTATGGCTTTTCTTGAGCTGCTACAGCTTTTTAAATCATGCAAATATCTGCAGAAATATTTTTTTAGCATCTCCAAAGATCCAATAAGGATGGATTATATGGATTATAGATTTTGTAAGTTTTTTGCCCAAAAGATGGTTCTTAAAACAGATAAGGCCTGCTAAATATCTGTTAATAATTTTTTGATCAATGTTGAAGGGATAATTAAGCAAAAGTTAAATCAATTTTTTCTCTCTAGCGGCTTTTCAGAAAACCACAGAAACCTTCGGGGGAATTGACATCTTGTGCAACAACGCTGGAATCCTAAATGAGAGCATCTGGGAGAAAACTGTCTCTATTAACCTTGTAAGAAACATCTACTACATGCAGCTGTATTTCATGATGCAAAAGAACTTCCAAAACACATTTGATGAAGACTTTGTGCTCACCCAGTTGCTTCCTTAGGTTGTCTAAGGAAGCAATTGGATAATTTGTAGCAGGTCAGGTGCTCAGATTAAATAACCTTTTATAGGCTTTACTTTACAGTAATTCTGTTTCATAACTGAGACTGAAACACCTGCCTGCTTGTACTGAGAAAAGTATATTTTATTCAGCAGAATCTGATGCTTTTCTGTACTGGCTGTTTCAGACTAGTGTCATCAGGGGGACATATATTGCATTGGAGCAAATGAGCAAGCTGAATGGAGGAAAGGGAGGCGTTATTATCAACACAGCCTCTTTGGCAGGTAAATGATGTATCCTGTTGCATTATGCAGTCAGATTTGAATGACAAGTTGAATGAAGAGAATGAATATAATCTCATTACTTTCCTTTAAGTTTTTTTTTTCTCTTCTTAAAATTCTGTCCAAAAATCTGTCATCTATTCAAATATTTTCCATTAGACCACAACAGGGCAAAACACTCTTCACCCTGTCATTATACTTACTCCTCCTTGCTTTACCTACTTTAATCTCCCCAAAAGCAAAGTCATCTATGTTTATATCTTTCCAAGCAGGTTTTAGACGATACGGTCTGTTTTTATTTGTTTTTCTTTCGTTTTTACAAAAAGCACATTTCCCACCTCTCATGCAGCTCAAAGTATGTGTGTGCCGGTACCTGGAATATAGATCTCTGTAGGCACAGACATTGATTGGTTCTTTTAACTTAGCTGGTTTTCCTTATTTATTTTTTCTATTGTTCCGCTTTTTCTTATGGTGTTGGCAGTACAGATATTTTTGGAAACTATAGTAATATTTGTACTTATTGTATGGAGTGGTAGACATTCTATTTTCTGGCATAAATGGAAAGTTCCCATTTGATATGAACAGTAGTTGCATTTCCATTACAAATGGGGGCAAAACTTTGTCGATATTAATTTTGAAAATGCTAATTTTTGTAATTGTTGTTATTCTATTAAATAAAAATACAATAAAATTGTATGTGAATAAGTCAGTTCATGGGATAACTCTTGAAAAACATGGCAGCAGCAGATGTAAACCCATGGATAGCTCCATATTTCAGCCCTGGCTCTAGCAGTCAGTCTCCTCATGAATCCAAATATGCTGCGCCATCATCCTCCAACTTCTTCCAGTCTTCTTCATCTTTTTAAAAGGCAGTAATGCTGCCTTCATGTGGTATCATAAAAAAAAATGACATTAAAATTGGACATGAACACCCAGTCATGTTGTGATTTCCACTGGAAAGCTGGAGAAATTTTATGATGCCAGAGTTGCCAAGATTAGGTAACCTTTGACCTCTCAACATGGTGGAGAGCAGAGAAAATATTGTAAATGATCAGTACTGCTTTATTAAAAGTTCTGTCATTGTGTTTGTAGCCCACCCAATGCTGTGACGTACATTTCTTAATATGATATCGTCATCTAAACTGTGGCGCAGTGGGTAGCACTGCTGCCTTGTCACAAGAAAGTTTGCTGCAACTGAAAAGCTTGCAGCAGGAAAGTTGTGGGTTCGATTCCCAGCCTGGGGTCTTTCTGCATGGAGTTTGAATGTTCTCCCTGAATATGCATGGGTTCTCTCCGGGTACTCTAGCTTCCTCCCACAGTCCAAAAACATGACTGTTAGGTTAATTGGCTTCTCTAACTTCTCCATAGGTTTGAGTGTGTGAATGATTGTTTGTTTAAAATAACAGTTCATGTTTGATTTCATCAGATGGAGAATAGCAGCCAGTAGGGCACTGTGCGCACTGTGTTCTGACAATCTTCTCATTTGATCTATGGTGAACGCCAGTGAGTGCATGATTTACTAGAACTAGGAGATGACCCTAACTTTCTGCCAAGTGGCAGGTCAGGATAATCTAATAGTAGCATGAGGTCCAGCTGCAGATCATGTGACTTGTGTGATTTGAGGTGTTTCCATTGTAGTTTTGGAAAATATAATTTTGATATGACCACAAAAAAACCACCACATCTAAGTGTAAAAACTTTTCATGCGGTTTTTTTTTTCAAAATTGCAGTTTTTCCAATTCGTCATTAGAGTTTGCACAATAGATGGTTAATGGAAATGCAGCTAGTGTCTTCCTAGGGGGATTTTTTTACTGCCATTGTGTTCATGAAATATGTTGATCTCATATTCATTGGTGTACTGCGGTGCGCTTATATAGCAATAAATGAAAACCCTGAGAAATAACTGTTAAAATAGATTGTCTAAATTTAGCCATTGTTAGGTTTTAAGACCTAACTGGGTGTTTCATGTAAAAAAAAAAATATGAAAACATAAAATATCAGTCCTATCCTATCACTCTTCTCTTCATATTGCATTGTATCTCTGTTGTTTTAGGTCTTGGTCCGTTGCAGAGCTGTCCCACCTACACAGCCACCAAGTTTGGAGTGGTGGGATTCACCAGAGCCATGGCAGTAAGGAAGATTTTTATCTAATTGTTTAAAACAATTTACCGAAAAAATTGTTTTAGGAGAATCTTTGTGCACAGCAAGCTTGACTATTACCTTACCAATCCTACCATTTCATATAAATAGGGAAAAACATTGCTATTTTAAAAATAAATCTTGTTAAAAATTGTTTTTAAAAGTTAGAAGTGAACTTTATATCTGGAAGCTAAACAGTGTGTGTTGGATTTTCAGGCAGCCTCTGATACTGCAGGATACGGTATCCGGTTTAATGCCATTTGCCCTGGGTTTGTGGAAACAGATCTAATGACAAACATCCCAGTAAGGTTGGGACAATTCTCCAACTTGGCTGGCGCCACACAAAAGTTAGTCGAAATGATGGGGACTTTGACGTAAGTTCAGGCTTTTTAAATGTTTTTCATTTGCATCTTGTTAGAAGTATTGTTTACGTTTGTCTGCATGTGCATAAAAATTCACGGATAATCTTGTCATTTCTGTGTCAGCGTGTCTGAGGTAGCCGAAGCCGTTCTGGAGCTGCTGACAGACGAGACAAAAAATGGAGAGGCCCTCCTGGTGTTACCTCAGGGAAAGAAATACATGCAGTTTCCAAATTCAGTTGAATAAAATAAACAACTGCAGTATCGCAAAACTGAATTAATGGTCAATATTTTGAATGAGTCCTGCTTAAATTCTAATCATTTATGTGTGCTTAAATGTATATCAAACTTATCCATGTATGGTTGTTGTGTTTTCTCTTTCTTCTTTTTTTTTTAAAACCTAAATGCAAAAATGTTTTATTGAACTAATTAAAAATCTACAGGGCTTAACTTTTTTATAGCTATTGAAAAAAATAAAGCATTGTTTTAATTTGATACCAGTGTTGTTAAAAAAAATAAAACAATAAAAAAATAAAACAATTAATCATAATTAGCTGCTTGTTCTTCAGACTTTACATTGCAAGCACAAGTATCCAATACATTTTTGTGATGTAAGACATGTAAAAGCATAACAGTGTGACATAAAATAATAAGGAGCAATCTAAGTCAGTTTTTTTTTTACTTTTAAAAGAAAAAAATGCCATTAGGATCTGGATTTACAGCTGTTAGGCATTAACCTTAATTATAATTCTGTAACTGCTTTGATGTTCCTTTAATACAAAAACGTCAGACTGCATCTTTGCGCCAGCTTTAAAACATCATCTTAGAGCGGACGTTTTGCTTTGTATATTATGGGCTGTACTGTCTTAGACGAACTACGTTGTAATTTTGTATACACAGAGTGTATACAAAAAGAAATTTTGATGTATGCAACTTACAACAGTCATATAAACATTACCATTTGTAAAGTGCAACAGTGGTCAAGAATGTAAACAGTGTAGGAGAAAAGGAAAAACCAGTCATGGTGCAAAAGGCATTGATATGGAAAGGTTCAGGGCAGTGCAAAATAAATACAGTGTAAAATGTAGTAGAACATTGAGTTGTGTTCTATTTAAATGGATTATAAAAGTTTCAGCCACATTGGTAGTGCAAAATAATGTTGCAAGTGTGATGCAGAGTCCAGTCTGATGGTAGCAGGGAAGAAGCTGCTGCAGAACCTGCAGCGGATGCTGCAAAGCACAATTCAGCAGCTGCATAATTTTTTTTTAATTTTCATTGTTGCTTCATCCGGATATTACATTACCATGCAAGTTACTAGTAAAAAGAGTTACTAGTTACAGTTACTGTTGATTGCTTATACCAAAAAGTAATGAATTGTTGTTAAACGTAACTTTTTAAGAGATTTTTTTTAAATGAACGCAATGTCAGTATAACACAAGTTTGTCATTAGTTGTTTAAATTCTATTTTTTTCCTGGTTTATCTTAATCTGGGGCTATGAAAGATCCCACTGAGATATGTGTTTAGTGATGCAGATCTGAACGACAAAAAGTGTGTGCTGTGCTCTGAACATGTACAGGTTCTGGTTCTGACTTCTTACCTCTACTGTCCAGCAGATCCCTGACAGCAGGCGCTCCTGTAATATCTACTAATGCTCATCGCTCTGATTCTTTCTTTTCTACCTTGATAAAAAACAATCCAAAAGTCACAGAGAATTTCTCATCAATATAAATTCACTTAGTTTTTCTGTGCAATGGCAGCGTTCATAACACAACAAGGGTTTTCTTTATCCTGACAGGATTTTACCTGGTTAAATAATAATTAAAGTAAACAATTCTAGGATTTCAATAACTAGTCATCATTTAGAAAGCTTATGAAGCGAACATGTCTGAATTATTTCATTTTTTTAATATTAGGATGGGATGTGGCTGTTGTGTTCCAGAAAGATGGCGAGGCTAACTTTGTAAGTGCTCTCGCCAGTCTAGCTGAAAACGTATGGGTAAAATTAAGTATGTTGCTGCTGCCACACATTGCAACTGACCAGACTCTACTTTAATTCAAAGTTTAGCCAAGTTCTGGTAATCATTTGGTGAGGAAAGAGTTATAAAAAGAAACATCTGTGCACGGAAATACAAAGCCGACTGAGGTATAAGCACTCAGAAAGCACTGCTCCTAAGGTGACCAGATTTCTGCAATCTAATCTGGGGACATTTCCAACTAGTAGATAAAAAGAAATACATATGATCAAAATTAAAATACGAAACAGGGACAGTAATGCTTTCATTCATTTTTACAAATGTATTAATATTTAAACGACAAAAATCAAGTGTAAAATCCAGATGTGCCTCTCCTATTTCCTAAGATTAATACAATTATAAAATAAATCAATTGATAGTGTTTATTAGTGCCTAGTCTTCTTCCCTCTCCCTCTTCTTTTCTTTCGAGCTGACTTCTACCTGCTCTCTGTTTAACTATTCTAAGCAGATTTTTTTTCCTTCTCTTCAACTGTTCTTTCCATGTTTTATTTTCCTCAGCTTTCATTCAATTTTCTTTTTATCAGTTTTCTAATCCTCTCCTATTCTATGAATTGAACACTAATCGAAAACAGGGACATAATACAATCAAAATCCCTTCCCAACACATTTAATCTCATCACACATAGTATATTATTATGATGATGGTGATTATTGTTGTTATGTCATCTGGTTAAATAGTGAAAAGGCTAATCATCACAATATTTGGAGCTACAAGTAAAAACATCTAATAAATGAAAATTAAACAGGTGATTATCTCTTCCTTCATCGTTCTCAGATCATGCAGATCGTGTGTCAAGTTTTCTTTTTATTGACTCTTATCTTTTATAATGAGGAACTTTCATCCAAACAGAGTGGTAGAAAAGTAGACCTAAGCCTGGAAGTCTATCCTCATAAATCACAACCACAGAACAGCCAAGCAACTTATAACTCTACTTATACTCTTACTATCTAAAGATATAAACTAAAGGTAACTGATCAGTTCTAAAAACATCTTTAGTTGAACTCTTGTTGATCCCTGAAGAACCACCGAACTAGATTAGCTCCTTACAAGGAATTTTCATATTAAAAAAAACAAATTTACTCATACCAGCTGCACCCAATGGTCTGTCTTACTTCTTGTTGATTAACTTGGTTTATATTTCATTTCTGGTCCTCATCTTTAGTAAAACAAAACATATCTAAGCCCTTTTTCTTTTTAAAATGGGCACCAACCAACATTTATCATGTCTGGTTGGTGCCCAATTCAAATCCAATGAACCGGTTAACACACTCACTTTTCTCCTCTGTTTTAGTGTGGTGCACTCTGTTCCTATTCTAAACGTTAACCAGCCAACCAGCCAGCTAACAGCTGTTTCTGCGAGCAACATGCTCACACATAAAAACAGTCTACATCAATATTTCCCCCCTCATTCATTAAAGGGTTAAAATCGGGGACATTTCCGGGGACAGGTTTAGCTGGGGGACAGGTGTTCCAAAATGGGGACCATCCCCAGAAATCAGGGACGTCTGGTCACCGTAATCCACCCGCACATGCAATACATTGAGGTGACAGGAATTTTCCATTGGTAACTTAACTGTTCAGGTCGGGTCAGTTCAAATAGGATCATTCATTTTCCATTTCATTGAAGTAGTATCTTAATGGGGGCATGGTCTTAAATAGCAAGGTGGCTCTGCAGTCCGATGTGTATAGATTTAAGATACGCTACAACAGCCTGCTACATTTATGGCTGTAGTCTAACTTGGAGTAATAGAGGAGTACCAAGAAGGCTGTGGACAGCTAGAAGAGGTAATCTGGGTATGTGCAGGAGGGAAAGAAACAATGCAGTAACTCATGTAAAGGTAAGCTAATGCTACATAATTATAGGTTGGTAGTTCCTTTAAAGGTGCTTATGCACACAATAGGCCCAGCATAAAATGATTTCATTGCTGTAGATCTTATATCAAATAAGCTGTGAATAGAGATGTCTCCGTCTAACCAATTGGTGACCAACAGTCCTCTGACGTTTGACACAGAAGGGTTTAAACCCCAGGGGAGCGGCCTCTAAAATCAGTAATCTTACTAATGGAAATGTTATATATAAAAAAAAAAAAAAAAAAAGGTAAATCAAGCCATAGTGAATTGTTCTAAGTTGGTACTAATGAAAAAGACATTATTGTCTTATCAGCCTGTGGTTTCAGATTTAAAATTCAGACTCAATGTCCCCAACAGTTGCAGACAGTATCAGATGATGTCACTATTTAGTGACACTTGATGTCTTGGTGATGAACTCATCGTCTTTGGCTTCATCCAGAACTGGAAGAGAAGGCTGTTTTCAACCACTTGTATCTGGGATCTCGTCTCTTGGTCATAATCCAGATTTCATGACCATACCTGGAACACATCCTCTGGTCCCCCTTCTTTTGCAGGGGAGCCACCACCCCAGTGTGCCAGTCCAGGGGCACTTTCCTTGATCTCCGTGTGATGTTGAAGTGATATGTCAGCCACAACCGCTCGACAACATCCAGAAAGCTAAGCTACCCAGGGATGATTTCATCCATCCCACAAAGCACAGACAGCCTGTATGATGAACAAATACATCCCTGAGCACCCCATCTCTTCTTTTGCCACAGTTTACATGGATATTAATGACTTCAGAAAAAAATGTACTTAACAGAATTGATAAACTGAGAGATCAATCAAAAATGAAGGGTCTGCCATACAGTATAAAATCTAGCATGGCCAGCGAGACTGGGGCGACACAGAGCATAAGGTGATAAGATATAAACTCGGCCAAAAGGCAAGGTAAGGCTGCAGTAAGAAAAAACAAGGCTGCAAAGTCCTGCACTTGTACCATTTATAAGCAAAAAAGTAGTGAAGACCAGTGACAGGGGGAGTGTCTTTTTATGCTCATAACGGTTGGCTCTGTATTGTGACAGTGTAATGACAATTAAATACTGGGGGGAAAAAAAAGATGAAAACACCTATTTAATTGCACATTTCCTTAATCTGCTAATGCAATGTTTCATAATTGTACAGTTTTAGTTTCTTTTATCGTAAGTTTTCCTTTACTTTCCTGTCTCTCATTCACATATTTCTTATTACCCCGCTGTACAGTTGCATGCTTTCAGGTGTCTTTAGCATATTCTGCTGATATACTTGAATTCCCCCAATGATGGACAATAAAGGTTTTTGTTTTCTTAATCTATTCTTCTATCTTATTACTGTGTAGGAAGTTTGGTTAATCTTCATCAAACTGTTTTAATTCCATCACATTTAAGGGTTTAATTTTTTGAGCCATTCACAGGTGGACTTACATTTGCACTCATATTCCAGTTGTGAATGCACATAGTGGAGGGTGGAGTGTGGTGGCCTATAAGGGAGAGTGGTAGTCTTGTGGTTAGGGCGTTCTGAACAAGCCTGATATGTATCAATAAAGTTGACTTTCCTTAGCCGTAGACACTGAATGATTTGTGTCCATCTAGTGGCTAATTTAGAAATTACTGGGACGAGGATCCGCACCATTTCAAGGCGGACGGCGCCCTCTGCAGCTTTTGAATCTAGAATCAGAAAAAGCTTTGCTGGCAACAAATAATTTGGAATTTTCTTTGGTGATAAGATGCTACACAACATACAGTCAATTTATGTATGTAATGTGGAAAAAATGCAAGTTGAAAAGGAATATTATAAGAAAAGGGGAAAAATGGCATCTTTTGGCATAAAAACAGGCAAATCTGGAAAACAATAACACTAGTATTTACTAATAAAATCCTGATATAATGCTGAAATAATGCATTTTTTCACACTAGCATGATGCAATCTTAAAGCAAACTAATACTATGCCCTTTAATACAGTTTTTTTCTCAATGCCTTCAGTGTATCCATGTGCGCATGCGCAGTTGAACGGTGATGCTGTGTGTGGAAAAAACATGGCGAAGGAAATGCAGACCAACAGTTTTCCTATCTTACCTTCAGGACCGGCGGAGGGTATGACATCTGCATCCTTTCGTTGCATACGTCTGATGGAGGATAACCGCTCCAGTGTATTTAGCGGCCGCTTCACACGTCGTAGAGATTGAAAGACGTTGGTGTTTTTAATCGGCGGCTTCCACGAAGCTAATGCTAACCTCGCTCCGCTAACGCATGCTAAGCTAAGTAGCGCTAACGTTTCTGCTCCAAGGTCGACCAGAGCAGGTCTGCATCCGTTGTTAGTTCGGACCTTTCCGTGAAAATAAATGAATGATGATGGATACAGGCAACGGTCACGTGTCGAGTTCCATTAAATAACTTGTTTGTTAGTAGAAGGTTGGTCATTTTACGCAGTTTGTCAGGACGTAACGGTGAAAATGCCACCCACTAGACAGACACCGCGATGGAGCGCATCCCAGCTAATCCTGCCGTTATGCGCTTTCTAAATTTAACTTGAATCAAGTTTTCACCCTTCTCATATTGATGTGCAAATGCACACTTCAAATTTTAATATACATTGCAAAAACTTATATTAATGATTGAAAATTATGATAGCAACATCTTCAAACCAGCTTGTAAAGATGCAAAACATATCAAACTGATTTAGGGTGGAAAATGAATATCATTTCAGTGGTTAAGAATCTCAAATCAATAGGATCGTTCTAAACAATAATAAAATTGTTTAATTTAAACGATTTAACATGCAATGCTGAGCAAACTATATCAGATGAGTAGCTTCCAATTCCAATGGTTATACTGAATAACAGATAGTTTATTTGAAATGGCCCATTTATCCAGCAAATTTGTTTGTTTTTAATGTAAAGCATTTATATTTTGACCATTGGAAACTTAATTCTGATAGCTTTGCAAAACACATATATTCCGCCTACAGTACATATATTTATGAATATATTTGATTGTCTAATTCTGATTAAAAAAAAAAAAAAAATTCTAGTTTTTAAAAAACTATAAAATATCTTGGAAAGCTAATCAAATTGCTGTTAGTTTTAATGTTACTAGTTTTAATTTGCCTTTTACATCTATGGTTTTTTGTGCAGGTATATAAAAACTGGTTTGAGTTTATTCTCCCTCTGGCTTTTTTCAAACCTCATCTGTTACCTTTGTGTTGCTCTTTTTCCTGTTTTATTTTCATTTGCTTCTAAAAAAAAACAAAAAACGAATTAGTTACACATACATTTACAGAAAACTGTCATACATAAGTTTATTTTACATTGTAATCCCCATTTCTTTTTAAATCTAGGAGAACAGTCGCATTTATATTGTTAATGTTTCTTTTTTTCATATGTTTGACCATACAACACTTTATAATGTAAGATAAATGGATACTATTGTATCCACTCTGACAAATGATTTTTCAGAGAACTATCACTAGTAAAATGTGGTTTTTGATGTAAATAAATATCCATCAGCAACAGGAAAACCTTAGTTATGTGATCAAGTTTTTTTTTTAACATTATTATCAATGAGTCAACTAGTCCAAACAAAACATTTATAAATGGAATACAACTGCCCTAGGGCTGATTATCCGATTATTTTAATAATTGTCAACTAATTTGTTAATAGATTTGAATTGTTCCCTTATATCCACACTGAATGCAGTGATTAAAGATGCCCCTGGATGGTTCATCATTAGGTCTCTAGCCTACCAGATAACGGGTTAAAAAAAGGGATTGCTCTATAAATTCAATTTAAAAATAGATTATTAATCCCAAAGGGAAATTAAATAACTTCCATCTTATCTGTTGTAAAGCATCTTGAAACAGACCAGGTTTTAGCTACATCACCTGTTGTTTTTTGTTTGATAAAACCTTAGAATGAGACACCAACGTAAATCAGTGGTATAAAATCGTGAGAGCTCACAGAGGAACCTTAAATCAGGCTTTGCTGAATTTGTTGACCTTCATCATCATCAGAAGCAGATATGTTTGTCATATTTTCAAAACTATAAAGCTGGTCACCTTAGCAAAATGATACATATGAGCTTTCCTGTGTGCTTCATGAAGAGAGGAAAGCATGAATTAGAACAATCGCTAACTATCCGGTATTTTAAAAATGTATTGTAAATGTGATGTATTGTAATATTTAATTTTCTCATTCTAAAATCTGTTTCTTTTTCTCCTCCCTGCAGTAGATAAAATGATCCAGGATCGAAGTGACCTATTTTCTGACTCGCAGTGCAAAGTCTGCAACGCTGTCCTGATTTCTCAGTCTCAGAAGTTGACTCATTATCAGGTTAGTGCACCAAAATCCCTGGTGCTGTTCGAGCATCAGGGGAGCCAATGTACATTTGAACATGCTGTAAACGTGTGACTGTATTCATCACATTTATGTCTCTTAAATAAAACCATTCTCACTTATTTTTAATGCAGGAAAAACCTCACCTAGATATTGCTTTGATCATAGAACTTGTATCTAAATATAATTATTGTATTTGTATTTCTCCCTTAAGTTTGGGAGAAAAAGAATCATGCAAAGAATTGTTATTTTAATGGTCTGGAATGTTTCTCCTTTTTTGTGCTTTCAGAGCAAGAAACATGCCAACAAAGTGCGCCGTTTCCTGTCCCTTGATAATGAGAACGGCAATGCTGTCAAGAAGCCCAAAACGTCTAACAATGTGAGTCAATAACTTCAATCATGTGTAATAAAGGACTCTCAGAAATGACACAGGCATGATATGGAGCAAAGCGAGGAGTCAGCTGTCCCTGTAGATCTGTGCTCAGGTGGCTCATTTAGTTTAAACCCATTTTGGATTCTTTGTAGCCAGGGCTGTACAGTGTGAGCATTTTACTTGCATTTGCTCCTAAAAATAAATTGGTGCGATTAGGGGGAAAATATAGATAGTATAGATTTCACCTCTTTAATTCGCATTTTGCTCCCAAATAGGTCAGGCTTGATTTAAATAATATATCAGTTCATATTTTATTAAAACATAAGGCTAGAAATATCTGAAAATACTTAAGGAACTGGTGTTGAGACGTCAGTTTAGCTTTTTCCGATTGCTGGCAGCGACATCTAATGCGGCACAATAATGTGCACATATTTACCTCCTTATATGCACATAAACATGAGAGAAGTGCTGTGAAAACGTGAATGGGGCACCATTCTGACTTCAATCAGCTCACAGAGGCAGGTTATGTTAAAACCTTTAGAACTACAATTGAAATATGCCTGCATCTATTTAATGAGTGTAACGGCAGCAGAAATGGTGTCTTGAAACACATTGACCTCCTCATTAGCACATAAACATTACAGAAGTGCTGTGAAAACTAGAACCCTGCGCAAGACTGCCATCAGCTTCCTGGGGAAGGTGAGCAAAATGCTTCCAACTCGGCAACTTTGTCGCTTTATTTAGCGACTTTTCAGGCTTTTTTTCCTTTCAAATAACGAATAGCGACAAAATCTAGTGACCATTTGTATCTTGTTGGAGTCTTTGGTGGCAACACGTGCACCGATAGCTCTTAGTTTAGCATCTTCAGCGAGTAGTGAGCGAGCCAGCCCCTCCCTCCTCTAAAACACTGTAGCCCCTTTCTGCAGTGGGAGCATAGCGGCTCTCCTCTGTTTCTCCATCAATCATGAGCCACACACTAGAGATGTCCCGATCCAGGTTTTTGCACTTCCAATCCGATACCGATATTGTTTTTGGACTTCCGATCCGATACCGATACTGGCCGATACCAGCCTATCCGAGCATGTATTTAAGTTTAAGTTAAAGTATTTAGCCTTAGTTGTAAGACTCATGTTGAAAAGGGTTTTAGTACTCTTGATAACATCTAGCCAGCTAAATTAGGTGAGATTGAATAAAACACCATGCTTGGTAACAACAAACTTACCTGTTTATTAAGAGATAAACACAAACTGGACACAATTATGAAAAGCAATCTGAAATTGCACAGTGAACAGTAAAACCGTAAACAGTTAAAGGTGCAAGTATTACTGTAAGTTTTAATAAAAATGCAAAACAGGGGAACACTGGCGCAAAATACTGCTTTAAGGTGATGCTGCAGTTGCGATATAATGATGATTAAATCAGCTGAGATAAATCCAGCTACTGTAGGTTCTGTTGGGTTTGTGTCTACTGCAGCAACTTGGTCCAAAACAGAACTAGATGGGTGACACTTTTAATATAATAGCTGAAATTTATTGCATTGTAACAGTGCTGTTTAGTTTAAAAAGTGGGTCCACCGATATATGTGTTATTGTGAAGCCCCAATTAAAATGAACAAAACTTGGATGACCTAGAACTACATCTGGGATGTTAAGTCATTTGAAACTATTCCTTGCTGGGACCAGTTAATGGTTTTTATTTTTCAGCCCGACCTAATGATCCCAAAATTATTATTATTATTATTTAACCTTTTCTAAGAGTTAGGAAGAAATGCAGTTTCTTTAATGGATTGTAAATCCACCTGCAGACGACTGAACTTTTCTCCCGTTGATGTAAAGTGAACGTCTGTATCCTCATTCTGTCTGTTTGGTTTGTTCATCTTTTAAAGAACCTGTTAAATAAATAATCACTGTGCTTGTTGTGTGTCTTTGTCTGCAGGATTGTAACAACGGAGACACAGACAGGACGAAGGCGTGTCACCTGTGTAACATGACCTTCACCTCTCCTGTTATGGCCGAGTCACATTATCAGGGCAAATTTCATGCGAAGAGGCTGAAAATGAAAGCCGTTGAATCACAGACTCCAGGTTTATTCTTTATTTTTTTATCATTTAAAGCCTTTCCCTTTTTTGTGTTCCCTGTTTGCTAAATGTTTTATTTTCCCGCTTTATAAATATCCTCCTCTTTCTCGCCATATTGCAATTTTTTCAGACGCCTCTCAGACAGGACAGCCGGCAGAGAAACCCGCTGACAATTCAGCTGCTGTCCCTGAATCTGACATCAACAACCCAGATCGCTTCTGCTCCACCTGCAAGGCCTCCTTCAACAACCCGCTCATGGCCCAGCAGCACTACGCGGGCAAGAAGCATAAAAAACACATGACCAGGCTAAAGCTGATAGAGACATACGGACCCTCCACTGCACCAGGTCAGAACTAGGATCCAAGTTTAAAGTAAAAATAGAAAAGCACATACTTATTGCGTGTACAAAATTGAATACATCACAAGTAAAAAAATTTGCAGCATTTTGTTGTTTATAGCATAAAATAATTCACAAAGATAGCAGATGTTGCTAAAATCCTCATTCGGTCACGTGACCAACTGAGGCGCTGTATCAGGAAGAAGTCATTTTACATAGCGAGTCAATATTTATTCACCTTTGTGATTGAGTTTTTATCCTTTAACGAGGACAAATATGAAGCAATCAGCTTTAGTGGTTTTATTAACGCTCGCTGGTTTAATCACTGCTTCTAAATATTGTCTGATCTTATGCAGAGATGGTGGAAGTTCTATATCTTTCAGAACGTTGTCTATGCTTTAGTTTAGGGGTGGGACGCGATTAAATTTTTTAATCGCGATTAATCGCATGGCTGTGAAATTAATTAATCGAATTAATCGCATTTTAATCGCATACTTGGAAACTGCAGGAAGTAACTTTTTCCACATGGATTTTGAATGACAACACATAAGCTTAATAGACAAAATATTGTTTATTTTTTTTAAAGAAATATCAACAGGCCAGTGCAAATTTTAAAGTTCAACATATTTAGGAACGCTAAACTCAGAAATTCAGGTAGCTCTATAGGTATAGGTAGAGCTTAATACTGCTTTTTAAACGCAAAAATGCAATACTCAAGTACATTCAGAACAAAAAGCCTCTGAGGCTTTAACACAATTCGTGGATTTATCAACAGTTCAACTGTTTACAAAAAATAAGTCAGAAATTAAATGAAATTCAGTCCAACTCTTTATAACATTGGCCATTCAGATAGTTCAGTTCAACATAAAGTGACAGTGAATGACCTCCAATTTTTCCCATTTGAAACACAACTGGCCAACTGGCCTCAGGATACACATTAACTGATTACTTCCTCTCTTTCAGCCAGTTGCTGAGACATACTAGCCTGTTCACATTTTCAGAGCTCAGGGCTGCCCTCTTCTTTTGAACTATGTTACCTGCCAGGGAGAATAATCTTTCGCAGGGTACCGAAGTGGCAGGGCTGCCTAGATACTTGCGGGCCAGGACAGAGAGCTGTGGATGGGCTCTCTCATGAGTGGACCACCACTGCAGTGGGCAGTCTCTCACTGATGGTAGGCTCTGCCTTGTAGCGGGCCAAGGCTCCTTTGGGCCCATCTTCATCCTCTGATTCAGAGTCGGAATTATACAGCAGGAGGCTCCTCTTCCTTGCTGGCTCCTCTGTGCGTTCCGGTGTGGCTCTGCCTGGTTGTTGTTGCACCAGTGCCTCAATGCTGGTCCACACCTCTCCTCGCTCTCCTCTTGGTAGACACTTTAGGTCCTTAAGATCAGAATAAGAATCAGAATCAGGTTTGTGGTCACATTAATCAGAGATTTACAGAGTACAAGCTGGATGAAATTCATTAGTATACATGGTTTCCATCATCCAGAATCTCCTCTACTGGTTGTGCCTATGGTCAAGTCTAAACTGTCCATATTAGAACTGCTCCAACAGCATCTTGTTTTAAAAAGAAATTAAAAATAGCATTATTCTCATCTGCCTTTGGTAATAGTTGGTTAATTATCTTCAATCCATAAAACAACATGAATTATTTTTTTCTGTTTTCATTTTTTTTTTACTCTTTAGCACACTGAATGACAATTATGTATGATAATGTGCTATACAAGTCATGTTGATGTTGTTATTCCATAAGAGAGGGGAGGGGAGGGGGCCGAGGAAATAAAAGAGTCATAAGCAATAAAAGAGAAAAATAAAGAAGACCATTACACACCTTAAAGCGAGGGTCGAGTGCTGTAGCCACTTGTAGAAATCTGTGATTTAGGGCATCCTCACGCTGAGACAGCCCCTTATCTTCTACCACAGCAATGGGTCTGCAGTCGAGAGCCGCCCAGTAAGCCAGCGCGTTGGTCATTTTCTCGGCCTTGGTCTTGCTTACCCTGCCCTTGAAGCCAGTCAGCTGGTGTAGTGTGGGTTGTTTCTTCTTCCTCCCAGTCGGGCTAGCTTCCACGCTAGTATCTGCCAAGCTAGCTGCTACATGCTTTGCTTCAGGTGATATTTGAGGCTTGATACGCTGCGGTGATGGGCGAATTCCTTGTTGCATAATTTACATATGACCGCGCTCTTATCGACTCTTCCCTCCTGTATTTTAAAACAAAATTTCCCCTGCAAAGGACCAACTAAAATGTTTTCATCTGCTTCGTCTAATTCTTCCATGGTTGTCTCTCCTTCTAGTTAAAAGCAACTTTCTTCTCTGTTCTTCTTCTTCAGTTTCTGTCCGACGGTATTCTGGCCATAGTTCTAATGCTGCCCCCACAGGTGAAATAATTACTTGGGTGAAATCCCAAACGACTTCCAGGAGACTTTGGTGTACGATTAAAATGCGTTAATTTTTTTAACGCGTTAATATTTGTATGATTAATTAATCGAAATTAACGCGTTAATGTCCCAGCCTTAGTTTAAACCAGTCCTTTTTTTTGAAGAGGGGATCGCAGGATTCGGGTTGGTTCTGTGGTTACTGGGTTGGGTTCGGTTGGCAGCGTGCTGCTGCAGCCGGGTGTGAAGGCTGGCAGTCAGTGTTGCAGTCCTGTGTGCGGTGCTGGCGGTTCTGGATAGCAGGCTTTGTTGCGCTGCTGTGTCTGGAAAGAGAAGGCGGTCACTGGTTAATCAGCGAGCGGTCCAAGCGCTGGATCCTTTCTGCTGTCCAGGTGGGAAACATTGCCCTTTGGATGTGATTTTTACCTGGTTTGGCTCATGGCTCCGGGTCAGTAAGGTTCGAGCTTTGGGTCTCTGCCTGCAGTAACTGACTGTTATCCATCTCTGTTCTTATTCTGGAGCCCGGACTATAATGATAGTGAAATCCGTCAGGAGCTGCGGCTATGCTAAACTATGCAACTAGCTAGGGTTCGTTGTTTTATGAAATAAAATATATTCCATAGAAAAATAAACAATGCTTTGAATCAACTTTATTGGCACTCTATTAAAACTAAACAACAGAGAAAATAAGCCATTGCAACTTTGGTATATTGAATCCAACTGATGCTGTGAGAGCCGGATTGATGATAAAAGATTCTGCCTTGATGTGATCCAAACATATTTTGTTGTATTGACTTGGATGTCACAGATTGGTTGATTTTTGGCTAATCTTTTTACTTTCCGGATCAAAATTTTATGTAAAACTTCGGATAATTAAAAATTCCTCATCCCGATCCAAAGCTATTTCTACATTAGACCATTATGATGCGTGAAGTAGTTGTTCGTGGCACCCGCTCGAGGATGTTTGACTACACTCACGTCACAGCTGTGTTTCTTTGCGTGACAGCTCTTAACTCTAGGATTGCTAGAGGCACCCGGCATACTGTAAAAATCTCTCAATTTTTATTACTTGGAGCATTTTTTTTTGTGCGATTTAGACCAACCACATAGAGAAAAGAAAGGATAATCTACCATCACACACATAGACACACTTCTTTCTATTTCAACCTTAACCCTAAATATTGGGATCATACAGATTCACTCGATCAGTATTCAACCCTTTAGCTTTTTCTACAGTGTTCCCTCACAGTATTAACACCAGTGGCAGACTGGCTGCATAATACAGGCTTCATTTGCATATTTATGTAACCATTTTAACTAAAAATAGTAAAGGTTTATTCTTGCTGCAGATCGGTGTTTGTAGTAAAAGGTGACAACAAATAGCATTAGCTTTCCTTAAAAACAGTGTTTCTTTGATGCAGCATAAACATGGATTGTTATCGTAATTCTTAGGAATTATAGGAAACTAACACCATACATTTATGATAAAGGCAAACCATGAAATAGAAGTAGAGTTGGAATTTTTACTTGTGCTAATTTCTTCCCTCTGTTAAATGAGATACAAATATTAATATCTTGAAATATATGGTTATATTAATTTATCTGTAATAGTTTTCAAATTGCTGTCACTGATGTCCTGAAATTAGCTGATATTCATTAATTATACTTTGTTTTTGTTTTTTTAAGTAAATGTTTGACAAAGCCAATTATTTTACTACTGAAGATAGAAAGTGCTTCTTTTTTCCCCCACAGCAGGGTCAAGTAGTGCTAAAAACACACATACAGAAGACGCAAAACTTATATGTGAAACAAAATGATATGCAACATCAATATAGCAAAGGGCGCCTCAGACAGGAACAATTATTAAGCAGTTAATTGAAAGAAATGCATATTTTTGTTGAAAAGAGGAAATATTTTGGTTAAAAATGAATAAAAAATGTCACGTTTGTCATTGGCACAATGGATGGTATAAATGATTTCAAAGTCTATGTTGCCTCTATGAGAGAAGGTTCCTGCTTCAGTCTTTAGCAGAACAGTGAGAGAGATATCCTCTTTACATCCATGCCTTGTTTGTTTATCCGATTGTCTGAAAGGTAGACGTCCATCTGTTCCTCCATCTGTCCATCTTTTCCCCAACTTTCTATCTCATAATCTGTTCATCGAACCATGTTCGTCTGACAGCACTTTGTGTTTTTGTATTACTTAGAATAAACTTTTAAAGAGCACTGTAACTATAAATGGGTTTCCCCTAGAAGCACTAACTTCCCTCCTTGTCTGCACGTAGCTTCAACGCTAAATGGTTATCCGTGCACCATCTGCAACATAGTGCTCAACTCTGTCGAACAATATCAGTCTCATATCAGCGGGGCCCGACACAAGACCCAGTAAGTACAAACATGGCGGTTGATGTGATATAATAATCCAAACGACCATTTATTTATTTATTTGTGTTCATTTTTACTTTGTGTTTAAGAATGAAGAAAACTGGTCAGAAGCCTGGAGAGGACCAACCCTCAGCTATGGAATCACAAGGCGGCAGTAACCAGTATGCTGAGGTTGATGACCAATGCACTCGTGGGGATGATGAATACCCACCTGGAGACGATCATTATGAACCTCCAGGGGAGCAGTATGCGGCTGAGGAAGACGGTTATGATGGAGGGGATCGCCAGTTTGGCAATCATCAGTACACTCCAGAGTTCTCTGCTTTTTCGGAGCAGTTCCAGTATACCTGAGGCTGGACTGGGATTGAACTGGAGACAGATTCTGTCCACACAGCCCCCCTTTAACTCATTAACAGAGCATCAGCCCTCCCGCTCCTCACTCTCTCTCTCTCATAAAACTCCTGTTTGACTCTCAGTAGTGTTTGCAGTTGTGTAAACCTCAGTTTGGATTGTGACGCACCCCATCGTACGATCTGTACCTCGTTTTATCTTTCGTTTTGCATTTAATGAAATAAAAGTCTTGAGTCTTTAAAATATTGACATTAAGCCTTGCAGCGTGTGAAGAGAGGATTCAGCTGTGATCCAGATGCACGTGTCCAGCTTTGCTGCTGTTACGCATCCACACTATGAAAAGACTTAAGGTAGTTTAAACAGTTTTATTTATTTTTGTTTTAGGAACATGTTAAAGATGTCAATGTGGTTCACATGGTCTTCACACAACAACCAGACAAGACGAGAACAGATGGCAAAGCATGGGAGAGCTTAGCAACACTTAGCTGGTAGTGAGTGAAACATGTGACTGGGATATTCCTCAAACATCATTATAAGAAAAGAGGAGAAAGCAGCACCTGATTTAAACGGGTTCCTCAGATTTTAACAAGTGGGTGTTTATTGCTTGGAATTGAGCAGTCAATATCTTACCATCAGTAGATATTCAGGCTGATGACCAGCGAAAAACAAAACAGAGTTTTTCCTTTTTTGAGGGTTATTTTAAACCCTGACTCTCATTGTAAAGGATGTTGAAACAACTATAAACTAGGTGGGAAGTTTACCTGTTTGTAAAGATTTACCTATGAAGCACAGATGTTTTTAACATTAGTGTTTGTTATGAGAAGTGAGCAGTTTTCCAGACACAATTGTTCTTTCCATATTTTTTAATGTCTGTTATGGATACACAGAGTGTAAAGGCCCTGGAATAGATCCTACCAAACGATACCTTATGGTTGAATGGAAATCCCTCTTAACTAGCGCCTAGCTGTTCAGCTCTTCTGTTTCATCAGTGCTGGGAAACTGATATACTACAAATATTGACTACTGATAGCCTCCCAGCATTACTGTGCTTTAAATGATCTGAGCTATACTTTTTAAAGAATGGACTACTCTACATAAGTTTCAGAACCTCGTTATGCAGCTAAATGTAAATTAAGCTTGAAATCCCAGATGTGAAAATGCCGAATCAAACTCTGCCGGATCCGAGACACGCTAAGAGTAAGCTCTGAATTATGACCTCAGATACACCAGCAAACAGGCTCAGTTACCACGGTCCTGCTCCACACGTCTTTTTGCAGCTTGACTGCTTACCTCACAGCCTAAATGCTAACCAGTTACTTATTAAGGGTCCGTAAAATTGGTACCATTGTGAATCGTTATTTGAAAAACTTAATTAAAGCAAGAAAAAAAGGTATTTGAACACCCTGCTATTTTGCAAGTTCTCCCACTTCTGTCATCGTAGGTGCAAGTCCACTGTGAGAAACATAATCAAAAAAGATTTCCAGAAATCACAATGTATTTTTTTGTTACTATTTGTTAGAATATATCCAACCAGCTTTAAAACTACACATCAGTCCTCCTGTAGTTGTCTATTTATACTGAATGTATTGAAAATACTCCCCAGTCCTGCTCTGCCTCCTGAGATATTGCTCAAAGAACTGCAGCTGAATTTCTTCTACTTTAACCGTTTACATTAGATCTAGTTTACTTCAGTTTTTTATTTAAAACATGTTGGTCCAGTAATTCATCAGGTAATACAGGCTCGCTTAGCTAGATTTGATTTAATTTTTGTGCCCTGGTTTCAACCTGGTGCTTCTGTTTGCTGTTCTTAATAGTTAAAGGTCGTACTGTAAAATGTCCTAATAAACATTTTTCCCAATTAAGCCTCTTTAAGAAACATTAAAACCTAAGCTGTTCATTGATTAGATTGTGTAATCCCTTTTTTTTAAGAAGATTTTTTTTGTGTGTGACAGAAGTTATCTGTATTTGATGAGACTGGCTCATTAAAAGCTTGTTGCATGAAAACTGAGTTTTTCTCATCCTAATTTTGAAGGATTTATTACTTTCTCCCCGAGACGCTTACCAGGGTCCTAACTGCTGAGGATTTACACTATTGCCACCATAAGAAATGATGTCAAAGTGAACGGTGATGTCAAAACTGAACTTTTTGTCAGGTTTTTTTAAGACGGTCTACGAAATATTTTAGAATTGAGTGGTTTTTGTCTAATTTTTTTTTATTAGTGGTTTCAGAGGGCTCATGCGTATTGTTCAGACCATGTATGAAAGATAAACGGCATTTCTGTTTTCATCCTATGTTTTTTGTGATTTAGAGATACTGTACGTATGTTATGTATTAAAAGATTGTACAAAGGCCGTGCATAAAGAAATGTTTTACGCCGAGTCTTTTCTTTTTGTCTTGGAAAGAAAAGAAGTGAATATGATGAAGTCTAAGCATATTTTCCAGTGTGATGATGCTCATAAATAAAACCAGGTACAGTAAACAATCAGCCCTGCTCATAAGTTTACTGACACACCATCTGCAGATATCTTATATTGCGCTGTTACTTAAAAACTATTCAACTATCCTATTTTAGGGCAAGAACTTGATAGGTTATATGTGGCACATCATATCAGTACAGTAATCCATAGAAAAGGAAAACAAACTATTAAGAGCATAGAAATGGACATACTTTTTTTATAATCATTTTTGCTTAAAATATTTTTTGATTGGTTTGTAATCTAATTTTCTAGGGCACTGAATTTAGGGTTTTATTTAACTCGCCTGCAATCATTAACTTCAAGCTTATAAATTTCTAACTTTAATGAATTATAGTAGCTTTCACTGTAAAAGATTGGCAAAAAATAATGCGCGTTTAAACAATTCTTTGGTTGGATGGTTGGACCTCTGGGCCTCTTTGATGTAAACAGCCTGAACATGCTTTCACATCCCTTAGCAAAAAGTAGTATACTTGAAGTAAATTCTATTAAGAATACTTAAGTATAAGTTTAGAAAGTATACCAAACAATGTACTTTTAGTGTACTTTAAGTATTATTAAAGTAATACTTCTTCGAACTAAATTGGGACATTTTTAAGTTTACTTAAAATTACTTTAAGTTTACTCTAAGTGTACTGCCTGATTTTAAGTATGAAATTAGTGCACTTTTAGTATACTTGAATAAACTACTTTTTGCTAAGGGTTCCCCTGAATATTATGCAACCAATTCAGTAATCTCCAGATAAGAGTTCCCAATGCCAGCTATTTTCCACTTAGGATGCCTGCAAAAAAGGTGATAATTAAAAAACATATTTTAAACGGTTAACTTAGCGGCAGTTTACAACACGTCATCTTAACACAGTTTACAGAGACAGATGATTTAAAAGTTTCTATCAAGGCAAACCAGCTGATTGCATGGAGTCTTTGACTTGCAAAACATGCTCGTCCTGAATGAGCTTGAGGTGAACAATTTTGCTTTACTTTGTTGTTGACTCTTCAGCGATCCCTCTCACCAGCCTTGAATGCATTAACAGTGGAGACGAGAAACACTTTTATCAGCAGAACCAGGCTCGCTGTGAGCGGCCCTCTACCGAGGCCGACTGAGGTTCAAGGAGATTGAAGCAGATAAACAAAAGCTAAAAGGATGTAAGAGAGAAAATACAATTAGTCACAGTACAATAACAAGTTACTGAAAAATAGGCCAAACTCCAGGTTTTGATGGCAGCCACACAGCTGATGTTTCCCTCCAGGATGGAGTAACAGTCAAACAGGAACAGACCAGAGAAAGCTACTGTGATGAGGAAAAGCAGAAAAAACAAAGCTATGGGTTTAAATAATGAACAACAGAATGGGAGAGTAGAGATGGAATAAAGCAGAATGATGAGAAGTGGCCTCTATGTCCTCCAGCAGCTTAAACATATAGCAGCATGAATAAAATAAATATCTTTGGATAACCTATCTTGGATGAGCTATGGGAAAGGTGGATAAAAGCCTCTAAACATCAGTTTTACCAGAATCGAAACAATTACAATCAAATGCATATAAGAAACATCTCATATCGTTTTCTTGGAAAAAACAACGCACTTTATTATTGATTTCTGTTGGGATGATGTTGTTTTTGCTGTCTTAATTAAAAGCAACAACTGACCACTAAATCCCACGCGAAAAGGAACGTGAATAGTTATGATAAGCAGAAGTGAAGCAAAAGCTCCTAAAGACAGCAGTTGTTTTCTAAGTCAACATGATGGTGACCCTGAGTCTCAGCCCAGAGTCCATAAAGAAATGTTTTCCTAGCATTGTATGAAAGGACTTGATGGGCCTCTCGAAAAGCCCTGACCTGAAACCCATCCAACAACTGTTTGCTGAGCTGGGCCAAACCAAACATCTCTGGGCAGCTGTCAGGCTTGATCCAATGTGAGCAGCTTTGCCAAAGAAGTGGAGGGTATAATGGCAGCAAAATTCTCTTCAAATTTCCTTTTTTAATGAAAAAAAAAGAAAAAGAAAAATATATAGATATATATAAAGCAACAAAACAACAACAAAAGTTCATGTCTCAGTGACACAAAAAGTGAACAAGAAAATCTGAGCTGAATTCCTCGCAGGCATCCCCAAAGTCGGTCCTCGAGGGCCGTTGTCCTGCAGGTTTTAGAGGATTACCTGATCCAGAACAGCTGATTTACATTAATAATTGATTATTAACTGCAATAATCAGCATCAGCTGTGCTAAAGCAAAGAAACCTCTAAAACCTGCAGGACAACGGCCCTCGAGGACTGACTTTGGGGATGCCTGCTCCAGAGCTTTGAATGGAGAAGTGACTCTTTCTGTGAGCTTCATTCTGGGTCAGAGCTCATTTTGGCCACATGGTGGTGGACTTACTCTGCGTTAAAAGTGAATGCAACCAACACAGCTTATAGTAACAGCTCATGACAAACATTTGATATGGACTCCTGTCTGACAAAAAGTTTAATTTTCTTCAAATTAATTATTTTATTTCAATTTTTATTTAGGTTCAAATTATTCCTGCTGGAGTTGCTTATGCATTTAAACCTTTAAGTTCTTACAGAAAGCACTTCATTTAACTTGGATGCTTTAAGAAGCGGTTTTCCATTATTACTTCTGCTCTAACTTAAAAAGGTAAAACTTTAAGATATTAGATGCATCTTGGTGGGGGGTTATATTAGTATAAATCCTCAGTTCCACAGTTATTGGTATAAAAATCTATTTCTTTAGAATAACTGGAACTGAACTACAATGATTTTTAAAACATACAAAACAGTTGAAAATATATTCAAACATATATATCCTCTTAGCTTAATTCAGACTGACTTGTTTAGAATTACTTTAAAAAACAAGTCTGTTATCACTGAAATTGTATTTTTTTTAGAAAAATGTCAGAATTACAGCTTGTACATAAATATTACTCAAAGCATGTAAAATAGACATGTTTAAGTGGTTTGTGCAGTTAATAAGCTGCAGGGAACAGTTTTGAGTACATGGACAATCTGACTTAAACTTTAAGAAGGATCTAATGCACATCGAATCCTTGTGCTGCTGTTTGACCAATAAGCATCTGTGTTATTAGCCGATGACCCAATATTGCTCTTCAGGATTTCCTGTTGGGGAGCAGTATTGATACTTTCATTACACTATAACAAACCTGACCATGACACAGCCACCACCATGTTTCACTGTAGACTTCATTACTGGACATGAACCTCCCAGAGAGGTCCTGTTCTGTCTCGTCAGTCCACAGTATACTCTATCTGTTGATCTATAAAAGGTTTTTTCGGTGAGGCAAGACAGACGTTAATGTCTCTTTTTGGTTCTCAAGAGTTATTTTCAACCTAAAACTCTACCATTGATTACACAAACTATTTATTTTATTTTTATTTTTTTGTTGAATCATGACCTTAAATGAGTGCAGCTTTAGATATTCCTAGGTGAGCTGCTCTGGGTTTTTTTAAGTACTACGGGTTATCCTGGTAGTTACCAATGTTCTATGTTTTCCCCATCTGTTAATAGTGTCTGTTTAGATGGCTCACTGGACTCCCAAATGTTTAGAAATTACTTTGTTCACATTTTCAGACTAATGGTAGGGTGTTTGGCTTCTTAAAAAATGCACAATGAAGTCTTATACAGTGAAAAATACAAAAAGGAGCATGAGTACAAACCAGAACAATAAACCAGACAAAATGAGGAGCAGCTTGGAGAGAGTGAAGGCAAGGCATCTAAAGGAGGAAGGGTAATCAACACTGAAAGAGCTGAGCTAAAACAATCAATGGAAATAGATGAACAATACATAAAGTATTAAATAAACATGAAAAGAAAATGCATACTTGGAACAAAAGGATGGATGTCATTAACTTTGTTCTTCTTTTAGATCTCATGAGATAATAAAAAATATGTAACAGTGATAACAATAAAATTTGAAGAAATGTGTCAAGGTACAAATGCCTTTTCCAAAGCCCTGGATGACAACAACACAGAGGCAGGCTTGCGTGTGTGTACTTTTTCTCAGGGTCCCTCAGCCGTGTGCTGCAGGTGGCCGTGTGGTCGCGTTACAGCTCCACCGAAAGTACAAACACACACACACAAACTCTCTTCCATGACATCTGAAAATTCCCATGGATTACATCTAATTCTTGTGACAGATGGACAAATGGTGGTTGGTGTGTGTGTGTGAATGAGAAAGCAGCTGGGAGCACGGGGTAAAACCTGCATCCAACAGGCGGCTGTATGGGACTATCAGCAGACACCTGTTTGTACACCCCCCACATACACACACACAGCCAGGATATTTGATACGTATTTAGGGAGGAGGGAGGGGAGGGGAGGGGAGTTGATGGTGTGGTGGTGGTGGGTGGTGGGGGGGCAGGTTGTGCGAGACAGAGACAAATAGAGGAGGAAGGGCAGAGTGGGAGAAAACAGCTGGATCAACTGAATGTTTCCGTTTTCTGTTTCCTGCCACAGATTTGTGAGGAAGAGTTTTAACCTCAGTCCTCTATGAGGTAATTGATGATTAATACAAACATGGTGGGATTGTCTTATTTTATCAGGAGAATAAGATTTTGCACTATCATAAAAAATATAGCTTTAAATCGAAAATATGAGGAAACTGCTGAAAATTCAGCAATTCAACTTGGATTGCTTAACACCTCTGATTTTGCGTTGGGTGAACAAAAACATGTCTGGACTATCTTTGTCTGAAAGGTTCAAAATAAGCTTGTATTTTGTCTGCATGGAATCTCTAGAGAGAAGTTGTATCAGATAGTTTGCTTTTACTCCACAGCCTCTTTACAAGGCAGTATTGGTTCTAGTACTGGGTTAAACTGCCAAAACTAAAGCCTTGGCTGTTGGTGGATTAGGTTCAGCCAGGTTAACATTTCTCACAGATTTTG